TGCAGTAAAACACTTTTACAAAAAGCAGCATAGAAAGGGAAAGATGGCCTTTCTTTGGTTTGAAATTCCATCATTGAAGGACAGTCACTCCTGTGAGAATGCTTTAGATGTCATACCCACATCAGTCACATACAGAGAGACACGAATTCATCCATGCTGCCTTCTTGCTGCTTGCCTCCGTATGCTCAACTAGCTTTCTTGACTTTTTATAATTTAGGGCCCTGCTAATGAAATGGTGCCACCGTGGGTCAGGTCAGTCAACAGTCAAGCCAATACCTCACAGACATATCCACAGGCCAAATTTACCTAGGTAATTTCTCAGCTGAGACTTTTCCCAGGTGATTCTAGTTTATAGAAAGTTTAAGCCTAACCACCACAGTTTGCAAAGCACAGGGTCAGATTATTCTGTTTTTGATTTTCAGTTTTCCATGAGAGAACTGGATCTTGGCAAGCTGATTTGCCCAGGACTATAGCTAGCTAAAGATAAGAGCAACACCTGAGCAATCTGAGTCCCAACATATTTACAGTACATACTTTCCTGTATAAAGTCATATCTTATTTGTACTTTTTGATTACATAAATTCCAGGAGAGAATGAATTTTGATTTGTATATCACTATATCCTCATCATCTTAAGCAAGGCCTGGCATGAGGGGAACATTAGGACTCTAAATCAGTTACAGCTGTTACATTAAAAAATTGCTGTAAGTTGCATTAATGAGGAGCGTTAAGACTACAGTATTCTTTCTTTCATGAAAATTTTATTTCTCATGATCTAGAGTTTGGGAAGTCTGGGATGTAGGTGCTGGGAGATTCCATGTCAAGGCTACATCTCTACTTTCTGCATTGTGACATGCTAGAACAACACAGAGATGGGTGCTCTGTCCTTCACCCATGACAGAGAAGGTGGAGAGACTCAACAGCTCTTTCACCTCTCTTTTATAAGGACATCAATGTCTTTCACAAAGGCAGAGGCTTATAACCCATCACTTCCCTGGAGGACTCACCACCTCCTGCCACCTACACAACGTTAAGTTTCCAGGTAAATTTTGGAGGGCTACAAACTTTCAAATTGTAGGCATCATTTTCTCCTTTTGGAGGTTCTCTGTGGTAGAAGTCCTATTTTTCTTCCATGTGGGATGTCTAAGCACATCCAAGCTCTTATGAATTCACAAAGAATGGCTGTGCCAAAGACAAGTTCTCTCCAGGCAGTCTTACTGTTCTGTCTTGAGATGAGTATGGGCAGCCATTTTTTTGAAGGCATAATATAGTGAGAAAAATAACCCATTTTGTGTGATGAACTCAACTTATCACCTCTAAAAATTCTCTCCACCCTTTCCTATCTATCTTACTGTGTAAGTTTATACAATTTATTTTTCCAAGAAACTTAGTCATCTACCCAGTAGCAGCCTTTGTGATATATTAAAAATTGAAGTTCCCTTTGCTTCTGGAAATTTGAAGCATTCATTTTTATTATGAAGGATCTATGTGAAAACCAAAGAGGAAACTCGGAGTTCAAGAAATAAAGAATAATGCTGTAATCATAACATCTCATTATTTTGTTTTTAAGCCCGATCTTTCACAAGGTTATTTCCTGGAGTTGAATGTTAATGGACTCTGGCTCTCTTTATGTAGAAGAGATCTTAAACAACAGTGTTCATAAGGAAGGACATTAATCAGGAGAGAGGAGAGAGCCTTGCTTCTAATAATGTTTGCATAATAGCTACCCTTGGGTATGTTGCTGTGCTTAAAAATAAGTAGCCATGCTTTCTGTATCCAACGCAATGGAAAATATTTGTGGTTATGGTTCTGTTATACAGTCTTCTATGTATTTATGGGGATACCAAACTGAAAGGCTGCTGAAGACTCACAAAGACAAATAGCATGGCTCATGAACGATATAGGGTAGAAGTTGAAAGGGGCCCTACATGGAGGATTGGGGATAAAGGACCTAAGAGCAAGTCATGACTCTGACTTCCGAAGGAAGAAGCAGCAGGCTGGCCACTGGAGGACATTTGGATGCTCCTGAGATTTGGCTTTAATTCTTCCATTGCTTCTTATCACCTGCGAGTACCTAATCTTGGCATACAGATACTCACTCCAGTGGCCTGTGAAGCCACAGTGCATGTGACATGGGGCTGCCCTCCATGCAGAACTCAATGCAGCTTCCCTCAAGCCCTGTGTTTTCAAGTTCCATGCTTCTGTTCAGATTCTTCCCTCATCTTCTAAGGACTTTCCAAGTCTTCTTTACCAATTAATTCTACTTAGCAGGCATAGTCGGTTTAAATTCCCCATCCTCCACAAAGTGTTGTTGGCTGTACTGCTAGCCACAGGTCTTATCCACCTTCTCTTGTTGATTGATTGGTTCGAATCTTTATACAGACTTTGCCCTGGGGATTTCCTCTGTTGTTTTGATTTATTGTGTGCATGTGCCAAGTTTGGTTTTAGATAAACGTTTAAAAATAATGACCTCATCTTCTCCCAGCTTTCTCCTTTTTATGATCACTTACCTTCTGAGAAAAGTTCTACATGATCTTGAAAATATAAGCCATGCTGCTGTTGGATCCTCTGAGTGTGGGTTACAAGACAGTATAAAGGGTTCATTCCTGTAGTTTTGTTTGCCTTATTTCATTTACAATGAGGACAGTTCACTGCAGTCAAGGGAGCATTCTTTTAGTATGAAAATCCAAACTTACTTGTTCCCCCAAGCTGAAATTTTGAGTAGTTTTTCTCAACCTCAACTTCCCTGTGATCCATTATAGGGTTTCTGTCCTGAAGGAAAACACCGCCTCACGGCTCCTTGATCTGTCCTTCCCATCTGAGGAAGTTAGATGTTGTGTTAGCAGAGCTTCACATGTGCACTTCAAAGGCCAAGTTTACCCTCAACAGAAATTTCCTTCTGAATGCTGTGTGTGTGTGTGTGTGTGTGTGTGTGTGTGTGTTCATGTAAAGTCACAGAAGTGCTGCAAAGTACCCCTTCTATTTATTTATAAAGCCTTTTAAAAAACTTAACTCTCACTGCAGAGGTTAACATTACAACTGTTGACCTTCTTTGCCAAGGAGAAAAAGAAATGCCTTAAAATGTTCATGTTCAGCAAATCATACAGAATTATTCTCTAATCCATGATTGTTTTCATAGTACAAACTTAGCAACACTGTTTTCTGTCACCTTCTGTGGGTGTCATGGTACCTAGTAGAGTTCTACCCACAGTGAGTTCAATGTAGCAGTGGGCAGAGGCCTAGACAGAAAAGCATGCATTACGGTTCTGACAGGCCCTGATAGTCTCTGTGCCCCAAGTGCCACTTCACTCCCAGTGTCAGGGTCCTTATTTTATAAAACAAAGAGGGAGATCCAAAATTTTCATAGGTTCTTTAGAAATATTAATTCCTTTTCTGTTGTTTCAGTATCTCTCTAACTTCTTGCTTCTGCTTTCTAAGTAGGGTACGCAGTCTTTAGCACTGAATGCCTTTGTTTACTCAGGAATCTTACATGTGCAATAGAGAGCCAAGTGGCAGCTAAGATGCCCCCCCCCCTCTCTCTCTCTCTCTCTCTGTGTGTGTGTGTGTGTGTGTGTGTGTGTGTGTGTGTGTGCGCGAGCGTGTGTGTGAGTGCATCTAGAGGTCAACCTCAGGTCTGGTTCTTCAGGAACCCATCCACCTAGTTTTTGAGGCAGGCTATTTCACTGGAACCTGGGGCTCTCGGGCTTGCCTGGGCTTACCCAGTAATTTGCTTGTCTCCCCTCTCTTGTACTGGAATCACATGTTTATACCACCATGTCTAGCTTTTTCTATGTGGGTCTTGGGGATCAAACTCGGGTTCTCATGCTTACACAGCAAGCACTTTAATGAGTGAGGGATGGAGCCATGGAGCCAGTGCTGTACCCCTGTTTCTTGATACATACTACTAGACTTTAATCAAATTGAGACATTAATTAAATAAGAAGAAAATGGCACTTTGTAAAATAAACTTAAATTATTTTTTTTCAAAAGTTCTTTTTTTTTTTTTTTGGTTTTTAGAGACAGGGTTTTTCTGTGTAGCTTTGGAGCCTATCCTGGCACTCGCTCTGGAGACCAGGCTTGCTTTGAACTCACAGAGATCCCCCTGCCTCTGCCTCCCGAGTGCTGGGATTAAAGGCATGCACCCTCAACAGCCAGCTCTTCTAAAGCTCTTTGACTTGAAAGGTTGTACCCATTGTTTGAATAGTTTCCAAATTGATACATCTCATTTTCTAAAGGCATCTGTTCTACAACAATGCAAGTAGCTCACTTTAGGAACCCCGACTGTCTTTAGATGTGCAGGTACCTTTTCCTTTTTATTAACATGATTTTCTTATTTATTTTCTATATGCTGCATGCATAAACCACTAGAAATTTTAAATTTTCTTTCTAAAGCCACAAACATCTCACAAATAAGTTAACAAAGACCGTTAAGCTTATTTCCTTCATAACCAAATGTGACTATTGCCCCCAGAACACAACTGAAACACTGACTTCCTCTTCTGTGTCTCTATCCCTCTTACTATCCATGGCAGTCAGTATTCACCACTCCAGTGTTTCCAGTTGAAATGGCTGGAGATATGCTGAATATCTACAGAGTAAAGTAGAAAGACAGAGGGTGGAATCACAATGATTAACCCTTCCAGGTAGCCCACAAGATCTAGACTTTCTCTTTTGCAGTTGTGGCAACTGAGGTTCATGGGATTAAATGGTCTGTTCAATGTCCCACACCTCTTAAGTTCTGAGCTAATGTGACTCCAAATTTCACATTATCTTTGCAGTATCAGGATGAGCGGGGGTGTACAAGAAAGTGCTAGAATCTTGTTTATGATTGGTGCTACGGAAGGAAAAGGTTTGAAGAAGGGAATTTCATCTGTTTCACAAAGAATCCCTGGTTCCTATCCCCAATAAAGATTACTTCTCCTAAATATGGAACCATTCATTCATAAATTCCCATTGAGAGGGTCTTCTACTAATGAGACTTCTCTCTTTTGTCTTTTGCAGCAATTTTGCAGGCAGTAATAACTGGTGACCTTATGAAGGTAAGCTATCCTCCTACCAAAGTGTTGGCGATTACCTCTCCAGATTTTCATGACCAAGTCCATGAACTACTTCCCCTGTCTGCACTGGTTGAGTAGAGAGAGGAAAGATGCTCTATTGAGAAATGAACAGAGGGAATGAGGAGAGACCTCACCACACTCTGCATCTCCTAATAGCAAAGGAGAGTGGTATAATTCCCTAGACTTGCCTTGGTTAGTTAAAGAATAAAGGGAGGGAGTGTAGTCCTAGGATGCAATTCTCATTGTGCCTAGAATCCCTGCTCTCTACGACTAACATTTGAAGAATTTGAAGGCTTCTGTTTTAGATGTGTTTGTGAATGAATGCATACATAAGAGTGGCCTGGGTAATACCCAGAAATGCATGTTCCAGCTCAGAGCTTGCTCCTGTTGATATAGTGGTCTACTTTAGAAGTCACAGCCAACTGAAAAAGGCAGGCTAGCCCATCTTGAGTGTTTCAATTTGTGCTTGTATTTTCTGGTGAATTTCATTCACAAGGAAAGAAATGGTCATCACCTCCTTGAAAGCAGATGTCAGTTCTGAGGCTAGAGTGCCCTATTTCAGAGCTTGCCTCCTTCCCTCCCCTCCCCTCCCCTCCCCTCC